TTTTAGTTCTATGGTCTAGTATATAGTCTAGTCTATAGCCTAGTCTATAGTCTAGTCTATCGCCTAGTCTATAGTCTAGTCTATAGGCTGGTCTATAGTCTAGTGTATAGTCTAGTCTATAGCCTAGTCTATAGTCTAGTATATAGCCTAGTCTATAGTCTAGACTATAGACTAGGCAATAGTCTAGTCTATAGTTTAGTCTATAGCCTAGTCTATAGCCTAGTCTACAGTCTAGTATATGGCCTAGTCTATAGTCTAGACTATTGACTAGACTAGACTATAGCCTAGTCTATAGTCTAGTCTATAGTCTAGTCTATAGTCTAGTCTATAGTCTAGTCTATAGTCTAGTCTATAGTCTAGTCTATAGTCTAGTCTATAGTCTAGTCTATAGTCTAGTCTATAGTCTAGTCTATAGTCTAGTCTATAGTCTAGTCTATAGTCTAGTCTATAGTCTAGTCTATAGTCTAGTCTATAGTCTAGTCTATAGTCTAGTCTATAGTCTAGTCTATAGTCTAGTCTATAGTCTAGTCTATAGTCTAGTCTATAGTCTAGTCTATAGTCTAGTCTATAGTCTAGTCTATAGTCTAGTCTATAGTCTAGTCTAGTCTAGCCTAGTCTAGACTATAGACTAGACTATAGTCTAGTCTATAGTCTAGTCTATAGTCTAGTCTATAGTCTAGTCTATAGTCTAGTCTATAGTCTAGTCTATAGTCTAGTCTATAGACTAGTCTATAGTCTAGTCTATAGTCTAGTCTATAGTCTAGTCTATAGTCTAGTCTATAGTCTAGTCTATAGTCTAGTCTATAGTCTAGTCTATAGTCTAGTCTATAGTCTAGTCTATGGTCTAGTCTATAGTATAGTCTAGTCTATAGTCTAGTCTATAGTCTAGACTATAGTCTAGTCTATAGTCTAGTCTATAGTCTAGTCTATAGTCTAGTCTATAATCTAGTCTATAGTCTAGTCTATAGTCTAGTCTATAGTCTAGTCTATAGTCTAGTCTATAGTCTAGTCTATAGTCTAGTCTATAGTCTAGTTTATAGTCTATGCTATAGTCTATTCTATAGTGTAGTCTATATTCTAGTCTATAGTTTAGTCTATAATTTAGTCTATAATTTAGTCTATAGTTTAGTCTATAGCTTAGTCTATAGTTTAGGTTATAGTTTAGTCTATAGTGTAGTCTATAGTCTAGTCTATAGTCTAGTCTATAGTCTAGTCTATAGTCTAGTCTTTAGTCTAGTCTTTAGTCTAGTCTATAGTCTAGTCTAAAGTCCAGTCTACATTCTAGTTTGTAGTCTAGCCTATAGTCTGTTATATGGGTTAGTCTGTAATCTAGTATGTATCCAAGTTTATAGTTTAAACTGTAGTCTAGCCTAAAATATAGGCTGGATTATATAACTAAACAAATTAATTTCTAGTTCAGTTCTAGAAATTAATTTGTTCTATTCTATTTCTGTTCTAGTTCTGTTCTAGTTCTGTTCTAGTTCTGTTCTAGTTCTGTTCTAGTTCTGTTCTAGTTCTGTTCTAGTTCAGTTCTAGTTCTGTTCTAGTTCTGTTCTAGTTCTGTTCTGGATCTGTTCTAGTTCTTTTCGAGTTCAATTCTACTTTCTCATGTAGTTCTAGTTTAGTACTAGTTCTAATATAATTAATTCTTATTCAGTTCAATTGCTATTATTAGGGGCAGTAATTTGCAATACTTTTCATAAAATTTAAACTTCAAAAATTATGCTTTTAATTTACCTCTTTAAATGATTTCTTCATTACAAATTTAATTTATTTTTTATTACTTTACAACAGAGGAGCGCAAGATTGCCATTACATAGCACGCGTGATAGGGTAAGAAAATTCTGCTGACGCTAAGTTGATACACATACACTATAGGTTTAATTCTTCTTCTTTTTATAATGAGCAATATCAGTGGGTTTGCTCTCAACTTGAAAAACAAAATCAAATCAGTTGCTGATCAGCACTTGTCAAAGCAAGGTCTGTACGCGACGTTTTTAAAATACACACAGAAATACAACAACAAAATTTTGAGAAAGCCGAATTAATGTAGGAGAACATGAGAGAACAGTTGTTAGTTTTTTATATATAGACTTTGATATACGCTGGCTGTCAAAATCCATAATAAACATTTGACAGTTAGCATATACATTATAGTTTATAGTCATTTTATTAGTATACTTTTATTTTGAATTGAATTCTGTTCTCTGCTGCTTTACCAACACAAATAAAACTATGGTACTCTATGGTAGTATGTGTTTGAGCAACACTGCTTTACAACCACAAATAAATTTACAAATCTTTCAAATATTTTTTCTTCATTTTAACTTTTCATCAAAATCATTTGCAGTTCTATGTTGTAAAATATATTATACTCCATTTCTATAACTCTCTCACTCTCCCTAATATTATGCTACAATTATTTTCCTTAATGAAAAACCCCACAAACATATTAAAGTAATACATACATTTGGTATACAGAGACGAAAATGAAATAAAATGAATAAACAAATAAAAACTAGCCAGAATTGTAGGGAGAAAAAGTAAAGTAAAAGCTGCAAATGACAGCTTAACAAAATATCATTATTAACATTTTAGCAAACATACAAACAAACAGCAACAACATATTGCGTTGACAATTGCAAATTAGCCAAGACAACCACCAGCAAGCAAGTACCCAACAGCATCATTACCTCCATAGTCTCATGCTCATTGTTCTCATTTAAACTTAACACTTTTAAAGTTACAAATACGTTTACAATTGCTACAAAAACAACAAATGTGGTAATACTTTATATTACCACCCACTGTTTGAGTCTGCTAGGTGATGGATGTGGCAACAAAAACCATAGATACATCCATCCAACAGATGGTACAGATGGACATACAACTAGACATTCAAATGGCTCTGAAACAGATTCATTGAAGAGTTTTTTCTCTCTTATTTTTGACCAACCATTTTGCCAGTAATCATTTTCATTATCACCATAAAAAGCAAAACCAACTTGACTAAAAATAAGGGATGTGAGGTCTGATAGTCCTAAAGACCTTTAGTATGATATTAAAATATGTATATATTTAATTGTAATAAGTGAAAAAGGTGCCTAAGAGACATTTATTTAAAATAACTAAGAGACAAAATATGAACAAAACTTTAAACATGTTGAAAATGTAAATTGATTATAAAACCATAGATGTAAATTATTTTCTTTTAGAAAAAATTTGTCACTTGGAGCCCTTTTGCCCTTATCAGCACAATTGTTTATTTAGCTTTTTATTTTTATTTAAACAAAAAAACTAACAAAACTAAAGAACTCTGTATATATAGTTTTAGTATATAATGAAATGTTTTTATATGAAACTAATTAAAATAGATGATAATGTTGAACGAAGGTTAATTTTTGTATGCACTGTACTATTTTTTATATTCATTGTTTTTATAGCATTTGTAGTTTCTAGCAGCAGAAACTCCTGAGAGTATTTAGTTTTAATTAAGTCATTTTTATAATTTCCTGTATTTCTTAAAAAAAACCTTAACATGAGATTAAATAATTAGTAATAAAAACTAAAGCATAGTTTCAGGTAATATTAATATTCATTTCTGGTGGGTGTTTTTATTAAATTTAGTCACAAATTAAAAAAAAACTGAAACAGAACTAGAAAAGAATTGGAACAGAACTAGCACAGAACTAGAACAGAACCACAAAAGAACTACAAAAGAACTAGAACAGAACTAGAAAAGAATTAGAACAGAACTATAACAGCACTAGAACAGAACTAGAACAGAATCACAAAAGAACTACAAAAGAACTAGAACAGAACTAGAACAAAACTAGAACAGAACTAGAACAGAACTAGAACAGAAGTAGAACAAAACTAGAACAGAACTAGAACAGAACTAGAACAGAACTAGAACAGAACTAGAACAAAACTAGAACAGAACTACAAAGAACTAAAACAGAACTTGAAGAGAACTACAACAGAACTAGAACCAGAACTAGTTGTGAACTAGAACATAATATAATTAGAACAGAACGATATCCGTCTACCTATCTATCTACTATCTATCTATCTATCTATCTATATCTATCTATCTATCTATCTATCTATCTATCTATCTATCTATCTATCTATCTATCTATCTATCTATCTATCTATCTATCTATCTATCTATCTATCTATCTATCTATCTATCTATCTATCTATCTATCTATCTATCTATCTATCTATCTATCTATCTAGCTATCTATCTATCTATCTATCTATCTATCTATCTATCTATCTATCTATCTATCTATCTATCTATCTATCTATCTATCTATCTATCTATCTATCTATCTATCTATCTCTATCTATCTATCTATCTATCTATCTATCTATCTATCTATCTATCTATCTATCTATCTATCTATCTATCTATCTATCTATCTATCTATCTATCTATCTATCTATCTATCTATCTATCTATCTATCTATCTATCTATCTATCTATCTATCTATCTATCTATCTATCTATCTATCTATCTATCTATCTATCTATCTATCTATCTATCTATCTATCTATCTATCTATCTATCTATCTATCTATCTATCTATCTAATCTATCTATCTATCTATCTATCTATCTATCTATCTATCTATCTATCTATCTATCTATCTATCTATCTATCTATCTATCTATCTATCTATCTACTATCTATCTATTTATCTATCTATCTATCTATCTATCTATCTATCTATCTATCTATCTATCTATCTATCTATCTATCTATCTATCTATCTATCTATCTATCTGTGTTTTTTCGTTTTTTTCTAGCTGTACTTTGGCTGAAGACGGCGTTCAATCATAAGAAAGTCTGATCCATTTGTAGATTTTTTTGATCTTAAGATATTTTAGAAGAGTTGGTGCTTTTAATTCGGCTTTATATAATTTAACTATTTTAATAATTATTTTCTTAACTACATATGTTAACTGATTTTTTTTCATTACTCTCTTTCCAGACGGGTTCCACCATAACCCCTGAAATGTTATTAACCACAGCAGAATCCTCAACATTTAGTGCCTCTGAGGTGGCTGGTCGCTTACAAGTCGATGTACGCTCCGGACTCAAATGGACCGAAGCTAAATATCGCGCTAAAATTATTGGTCACAATGAACTCAATGTTATCGAAGAAGAACCTACCTGGAAGAAATATGCCGAACAATTTAAAAATCCTCTCATTTTATTACTATTGGGTTCAGCGGCCGTTTCGGTATTTATGAAACAGTTCGATGATGCTGTGAGCATAACAATCGCCATTATAATTGTGGTAACAGTAGCTTTTATACAAGAGTATAGATCAGAGAAGAGTTTAGAGGAATTAAAGAAATTAGTACCACCCGAGTGTCATTGTTTGAGAGAGGGTAGGCTGGAAACATTTCTGGCACGTGAACTGGTGCCGGGAGATGTGGTGTATCTGAATGTGGGCGATCGAGTGCCGGCCGATGTAAGGCTCTTCGATGCCATTGACTTGTCTATAGATGAGTCCAGTTTTACGGGTGAAACTGAACCGGCTAGAAAATGTACGGATTTGTTATTGAATAATACAGGGAATAAAGATCATACGAATATGAAAAATATAGCGTTTATGGGTACTTTAGTGCGTTGCGGCAATGGCAAAGGTATTGTGGTGAGTACCGGTGAAAGAAGCGAGTTTGGTGAAGTCTTCAAAATGATGCAAGCCGAAGAGGCACCCAAGACACCTTTACAAAAGTCTATGGATATTTTGGGAGCTCAATTAAGTTTCTACTCTTTTCTTATTATTGGTGTTATAATGCTATTGGGTTGGTTGCAGGGCAAACCCTTAACGGAAATGTTTAATATTTCCGTTTCCCTAGCAGTGGCAGCCATACCTGAGGGATTACCCATAGTGGTGACAGTTACCTTAGCCTTGGGGGTTATGCGCATGGCTAAACGCAATGCTATTGTTAAAAAACTACCCACAGTGGAAACTTTGGGTTGTGTTAATGTTATCTGCTCGGATAAGACAGGAACATTGACCAAAAACGAAATGACGGTGACAGTGATCATAACCTCCGATGCCTATATGGCAGATGTAACTGGAGCGGGCTATAATGATCAGGGTGAAATACATATACGCAATTGCAATAACATAGAAATGGCTAAAGCTAATATAACTAATCTCTTGGAAATTGGCGCTGTTTGCAATAATGCCTATATACAAAATGGCACCTTATTGGGACAACCTACCGAAGGTGCTCTCATTGCAGCTGCCATGAAAAATGGCATGTATGCTACCGCTGAAAACTATGTACGTATACAGGAATATCCCTTCTCATCCGATCAGAAAATGATGGCCGTTAAATGTATACACAAGTACAATAACAATAAAGAAGAAATCTATTTTGCTAAAGGCGCTCTAGATTATCTTTTGCCTCAGTGTACCAAATATCAATTTGGCACTCAAACTATGCCTTTGACTAAACAAAATGAAGCGGAATTTTTGGCCGAAGCTTATGAAATAGGACGTAAAGGTTTAAGAGTTTTAGCTTTGGCTAAGGGAAAAAATTTACAAGATCTTATATATTGCGGTTTGGTGGGCATAACAGATCCGCCAAGACCTTTGGTTAGGGAATCTATAGAGCTGTTAATGCAGAGCGGTGTGCGAGTGAAAATGGTGACTGGAGATGCTCAAGAGACAGCAATGGCAATTGGTAAGTGAATAATTTTATAAAAAAATCTTGAGACCCAGAAATATTAGACTATATTAACAATTGGATTAGACTTTTTTAGGCTCGTTTAATTTGTTACTTTTTAAATTTGTATTTTGAAAAAATTTTGAAAAATAACTTTTTCTTTTATTTAAAATAAACTGTTGAGAACAGAATCTTGAAAGTTTGGTACTTTTTATAAGAAAAAAGAGGGATTTTATTACCCTGTTTAAAGTAAGAATCATGTTTGAGCCTTTTTAAGTTAACATACTATTACAGAGTACTTTGCAAAAAAGTACTTTTCTTAAGGGATTTTAAAATTTTTTTTGTAAATGTACTTTTCTGAAAAATGTGCTTTCTTGAAAAGTACTTTTGTTATACTTTTCTAGTGCTACTTTACAAGTTCTCTTCCAAAAGTAGTTTTTCAATATTTTCCCCAAAAAAGTACTTTTTAAAATTTTTGTTAAAGTACTTTTTTGAACACTTTTTGTAAATATTATTTTCTTCAAAAATTTTCATAAAAAAGGTGCTTTTATGAAAAAAAAGTCTCAAAAAAGTACTTTCCAACATTTTCCTTAAATGACTTTATAACGCTTTTTGTAAATGTACTGAAAAATAGTACTTTTAGGGTACTTTTTCTAAAAGTATTTTTTTTTTTCACTATTTTACTAAAAATCAACGTTTCTGATACTAATTTTTAATACTAATCTTCAATACGTGTTTTTTAACCTTTTTCTACAAAAGTACTTTCTTGATACATTTCCTAAAATCATACATAATCAAATTTTCACTATCTGTCGGCATTGATTAACAGTAAGAATCATGTTTGAGCCTTTTTAAGTTAACATACTATTGCAGAGTACTTTGCGAAAAAGTACTTTTCTTAAGGGATTTTTAAAAATTTTTTTTGTAAATGTACTTTGCTGAAAAATGTGCTTTCTTGAAAAGTACTTTTGTTATACTTTTCTAGTGCTACTTTAGAACTTCTCTTCCAAAAGTAGTTTTTCAATATTTTCCAAAAAAAAAGTACTTTTTAAAATTTTCGTTAAAGTACTTTTTTGAACACTTTTTGTAAATATTATTTTCTTCAAAAATTTTCATAAAAAAGGTGCTTTTATGAAAAAAAAGTCTCAAAAAAGTACTTTCCAACATTTTCCTTAAATGACTTTATAACACTTTTTGTAAATGTACTGAAAAATAGTACTTTTAGGGTACTTTTTCTAAAAGTATTTTTTTTTTCACAATTTTACTAAAAATTAACTTTTCTGATACTAATCTTCAAAACGTGTTTTTTTAACCTTTTTCTACAAAAGTACTTTTTTGATACTTTTCCTAAAATCATACTTTTAACACTTTTTGCCTTAAATAGTACCTTCTCCGTACTTTTTCTAAAGGTGCTTATATCACTTTTTTTATTTTATAAAAAAGTACTTTTTTAACATATTATAAAGAAGTACTTTTCTAAAGCTTTACTTTATGTTTCCTAAAAATGCATTTTAGTACTTTTTCTAAAGCTATTTGGTACTTTTTCGAATAAGTTTCCAAAGTTATTGATTTCATATCAGATAGTTACTAGTTTTGACACTTTTATAAGGGATTTTTTTTATCATCAATTAGGTTTTTTGGCATTTCTTTGAAAAGTACTTTTTGGTACTTTTAGGGGAATTCCCTGTCTTTATTTGTTAGTACATTGATTTAGCTACTAAATTTAAATTTAAGAGCTTAACTTTATTTTAAGATTAAAATAAAAGATTTTCTTAAAGTTAAAAGTTTTTTAGATGGTACTTTTTATGGGACACTGGGCACTTTTTTTGGGGCACTTAAGTCAAAATTATGATTTAGTTTAAAAAAGGTTTTTAAATAACTTTTGTGCAATGTTTTGAAACTTTTTTGCTCTTTTTCTTTTTTTTTTTTTTGCATTTTTCTTGGTACTTTTTTTTTTTTGTGCTTATCTATGTCTAATTTTTCTTTCTATTGTCCTTTGTACCGTTTATATAAGAATTGTTGCTTTTGACTTTGTATGTAAATTTCCAAAAAAAACGATGGATGCAACGAACATGACATGTAACTTGATTGTTAAACATGTTGAAAATGCTAAAAGTTGACGTAAACGAAAAAGTACTTTTTCATGTACTAATACAACCAAACAACAATATATTGTAGGAGTTAAAAAGAAAACCAAAACTTTCTATTCAATCACCCATACATCCCCCCCCCCCGTCCCCCTTAAAAACAAATTCTATTCTTATCTTTTAACAGTAATGAACATCAGATTGTTGTTTTTTTTTAGTTGTTTTGCTAAATTTTTAGAGAAAAAAGTACTTTTTTATGTTTCTTTTGGTTTAAGGTTATAAGGGTTTATTTATTTCATTTATGCCACCACAAAGATTTATTACTCCCTAGAAAGCTTGAGTTATATATACAATTTTAAACTAAAACTGCTAAATTCCAAAACAAGAAAGAAACTCTAAATGTGTAGGAGTTTAGCTTAGAAGGACATGCTACTCTACCAACTCTATTTGGGGGAAACGCAAAAAAGACAGAGGGAAATTTGTAAAATATCTATTTGATATGCCCCTGATGTTGTTTGGTTGAATACAACTGACATGAAGTGAAGTTGCACTTCAAATAAATTTCTCGTTTGTATGTTTAAACAGACGGACGAAGGCATGGATGGATGGACGGACAGACAGACAGACTCCAGGCTAAAGTTGAATGTTAAAGGATATAATTCATTTTGTCTGGGCAACTAAGTGTTTTTTAGTTGCAACCATATACATATCTGCCACTTGGTTGTGCAAACACACAGAGAAAGGGAAAAAGTAAAAAAATGGTGTCCCTATACAAATACAAACAAAAATTTGCCGGAAATGCAAGAGCCAGTCAATATAGTGGGTGGTTAAACTAACAGTTTAAGCAAGCAACTTTATCGCTATAACGCAGACAACCCAATATCTCCATAAACCTGTCTGTACTGTCAGTAACTCTATGAGTAACATTGTGACTGTGGTTAATTATTTCTGCGAAGCCCCATAAAGACTTAAACTTGTACTCCAACCACTACCCCTAGAAATATAATGCTAAAGTCCCTTATCCTGTACCATACATATTCCTTATCTTGCAGTAATATACATTTTTTATTCGTACAATTTAATAATTGCTATATTGGTGTAACCCAAAAAGGTAATAAATGTTCTATAATGGTAAAATATTAAAAGTTGAAACGAAAAAAAAATTTTAAAAAATAATAACTGTTTTATCATCCTGGGACAGCAGCAGCAACATCATTTTGATCGTCCCTGCTCCATAACACAATATGTACAAGTTCAATGAGTTGGAAACATATAAGGATACACGTTTCGTTTTCTCTACTTGTTTGTGGGTAAAATTGTAATTATGATATGGTTACCCCCAAAAAAAAGAAGGAACCGAAAAAATCATATAAAATTGATATGAAATCAAGCATTACAATAAAACAAAATTTGAAAAAAGATTAAAGAAATAAATTGGTTGTATAGTTACAAGTAAAGAAATTATTAAAAATTTTAAGGAATTAAACTGATGAATTTAGTTCTGGCAAACATAGTTTTAAAAGAAAGATTTCTAGTTTCACGTTTTCTTTAAATAACCTAAAGCTTATTTGGATCTATTAGTGTCGGTCTAAGCTCTACTTAGTGCACTACATTAGCATTAGTCTTAGCTCAAACTAACGTCTTATATAAGATTTAAATGAAGCTTTACTCAGGGTCCCACATTAGCTCGAAATGCAGTTTGAGTTATAGCTCCACATAAGCTTTAATAGTGGCTCTGGATGTAGTAATAGTAAAGCTTAACTCAGAGCTTTAAATACGTTTTTAGTTTAGTTTTAATCGTTGTACTTTGTATTTTCAAGTTAAGCTTTAATTGTTTCATTAAATATAGTTCGATCTTTACATTTAGAAAATAAAGCTTAAATTTTGATTCATTTACAGCTCTAAATAAAGCTCTTTTTAGGTTCAATTGTAGTTCAAGGTAAAGACTTGTATCAGTATTAAACACAACTCAAAATATAGTCTCACATTAGCTTCAATCGTTAGGATAGTTTGAAGCTTTATTCTAAGCTTTTTATATTTACAAGTTAAACTTTAATTGTTTCCTTAAATATAGTCAGTTTTTAATATAAATTAGCTTCAATCATTGTTTTTATTAAGTTTGAAATATAGTCTAAGCTTAGTTTTAACTGTAGCTTAAAGCTTGGCTTCAATAACAGTTCTAAATAAGTCGCTATTTTCTTTCAATTGTAGCTTAAAATATGGTTTTACATTAGTATAAATCACAGCTCAACAATTATCTCACATTAGTTTTAACCGTTGTTATAAATGTATTAGCAGTTAAGCTTGCTCAAAGCTTTAATCGTAACACTTTGTATTTTTGAGCTTAGCTTTCAAAATAAAGTCCTATTTTGATTTAATCGTAGCCCAAAATATGGATTTGCAATAGCATTAATCACAGCTTTAAATATAGCTTCACATGGTCTTGGTTTAGTCTTAAAATTACCTTAAAGTATGGTCTAAGATTATCTTTGAACGAAGCTCGAAATATTAGTTTTGATTTAAAAGTAGCCCTAACTGTAACCTTAATTAAGCTCCAATTGCAGCCTGAGTTTTGCTTTTGTTGCTTTAAATAAAGATTAAGTTTGGAATATAAATAAAGCCTTAGTTTAGCATTAATCTTAGATTCATACTTTGCCCTACTTTATCCACAATTTAGCTTTAATCGTAGCTCCACATATAGACCTAGATCACCGGTAATAGGTGATTAAAATACAGTCCTAGTTTAGCTTTTATTATACCCTTAGTTTAGCTCTAATCCCACTTTATACATAACAATTCTGTTTAGGTTAAAAGTAGGTCCAAGCATAAGCTTTTATTTGTAGATCTAATTACAGGTCTATTTTAGCTTTAAAAACTGATTAACTGATTTTTCTTAGCTCTACATAAAGTCCTATCTTGGCTTTGCTTTTA